AAATAAGCAAACTGATCTGAGGAGACTGGATTCATCCAAAGGAAGAAAATATGCAGACAGGTGGATGGTAGGGTGAATCTGAAATTTGGAGGCCTAAATTTGAAGACCAGTGAAGATGTCTGAGGGACTCCCAGGGACATGCTGTTGTTACTAGGCAACCCACCAGTCCTCCTGGGCCAAAGCAAAAATTCCTATCCAGCCTGTTGCTGCTCGTTAAGGAATTTTCCCTGGACAAGTCTGCCAAACCAATCACTACCCTGTTTCAGGTTAGGCCTAGTTTTTATAATTGAACAAGAGTCATTGAAAACCTCTTGAAAAGGAAGAGAGTATCAGTGCCCTAATGTGAATGCCAGAGATCGTGAGTGAGAATTCCAATTAACTTAGGGTAAGGCTTTTCTTATACTAAAAAGAACTTTAAATTTTTCCAAGGTTAAACTAGTTGACATCATCTGCTGCCATGATCTCACCTCTTGGTCCAAGTAACAAGGGTGGACTGCTGATACTATAAATACTAAAAGAATGCAGCAAAGTTCACTAACTATAGCAGCACCTAAAATCAGACTCACATTTATCTATATGAGCAGAAGCTGTGCAGCTGTCATTTCTCATCAAGCAATACAGGAGAAAAAAACCTAGGAAAGCGACATTAGGGAGACAAGCCAAGAAAGGAACCAAGGGAAGGAGGGAACAAGAAGGACATGTGGGTTTAAATGAGGGAGGAAGAGAGGGGAAAAAATACTATGTAACCACTGTTAATTTTTTAACCAGAAATGAATAGTTACACCAAAGTCATAAAGAGGAACTGAAGCAGTTGCCTGAATTATCTAAGCCTTTTTAAAAAGTAAATTTAACAACCTAACATCCAAAAAAATCTTATTTGAATTTTCTATACATATGAAACAAACACTTCTTGAGGTGAGTGGGTAGTGGTAATGTTTAAATGCTTCTATGTATGTTTCATTTATCCAACTACTTTTCTAAATTCTCTTTTTTACTTTCCTGAGCCTAGTAGAAATTGCTGGGCATAGCTTTTCAGTGATTGTTCTAGTACTTATTTCTAATCTTCCTTAAGTCAGGTGACGCTGGGCCCATTTGAACGGCCTGAACTCTGCAGTCAGTTTAGAACAGACCCTCAACTAAAGGCCCACAGCAGCTCTAGTACTGACTTATCAGAGTAATACTTCAAGCTACCATGAGCCTTAGAAATGAAATTGCAGTCACCAGTCTATCAAATCATTTCACCAGGGATCAATATCAAACTAGCACTCTTTACCTTTGACTTTGTGCTACAAAATAGAATCTGAATTCAATGAAACAACAGTCCTCAAAAAAGTGAATACCAGACATGGTGGCTCACGCCTGTAATCCCAGCACTTCAGGAGGCCGGGGTGGGCAGATCACTTGAGGTCAGGAGTTTGAGACCAGCCTGGCCAACATGATAAAACCCCATCTGTACTAAAAATAAAAAAAATTAGCCTGGCATGGTGATGCACACCTGTAATCCCAGCTACTGGGGAGGCTTAGGCAGGAGAATCTCTCGAACCCACGAGGTGGAGGTTGTAGTGAGCCAATATTTTGCCACTGCACTCCAGCTTGGGCAACAGAGCAAGACTGTCGGGGGGGGGGGGAAAAAAACCCACAGAACATTGAACACCAGCTCACACATGAGTGGCATTCAGCCAGAAACCCTAGCAAAATCCTTGGCAAGCCTGGTGGAGGCCCATGTGGGTGATATCACTTCAAATCAGGTCATTAGCAGCTCTGGAAACATATGCCCTATCAAAAAGACCCCTTTCTTCCAGAAGCAGCAGTTCAGCAAAACAATGAAAGCAAACAACATCAACAGCAGGCCTAAGTCTTATAACCACATTAAAATCATATCTGAAGGAGCTCATCCAATGTAGCATAAAGTCCACAGGTTTCTTTCATTTACACACTGGCTATGCACCTGAAGAGCTATATATAAATTGCAACTATTGGGTAAAGCAACATTAAGTTTCATTTGAAACAGTGTTGCCCTACTTAAGGCAATTATAATGCCTGGAACATTATTTAAATGCAGATTCCCTGTGCTCTCTCCTGGAGAATCTGATTCAACACTGCTGGGTTGGGACCCTGGGTGCCTCAGATTGTATTTTATATGTTTTAAACTCAGATGAGTTTGAAATGCAATGATTTTAAAATCTCCTGTGGAGATTCCTATTTTCAAGTATGTGCATCAACATCAACTTGTTTTTATTAGCTCAGATTTTTGTGCTGTTGTCCAGCATTTTCTTCTGTTTCAGTTAGGTTAACCTTGCCTGTATGTCAGTTTATGTCACAGATGATGGGAAAGTCACTAAAGCACACACTATGCAGTGTTCTCTAGACGCAGTGGACAAGTCCATGTTTTCTGATGGATATAGTTTGTAGAAACTGAACAGGAGCGAGAGGAAGCCAGCAAGGGCAATTTTTATCTTGCACAAGGCTAATGTTAAGGAATGGAGAAGGCAGCTGAAGGTAGTAGACTACAAGTTTTAGGGAGGTGGGCGTGTCTGAGCAAACACTATCTGTACTTTGTCCCTCTTTTAGTTTGAATCCCCAGGGATCCTCTAGAGTGTGTGCATTTATCCATCTCTGAATTAAGGAGTGTACAAGATTTAATCCATTGTAGGGAACAGAACTCTGGACCCCTCAGCATTAAACTGGTGATACTCTGGAAAAGAGACAAGACTGATAGTATTAGCTGGTTCATCATTTACTCATTGGGTATTAATATCACTTGACTACCAAGACCGATTACAAGAATACTTTTGACTATTTTGAGTATGCAACTGTCCAGATTAATTAGTAGAGAACTGATCATGTTAATTTACTTGATGGTGCCATTATCTCTGCCTCCGATTTCACCCATGCTGAGCGCCCTTCTGGTTCTAGAACATGTTAAGCACACTCTTACCCGAGGACCCTTGCACTTGCTCTTCCACCTGCCTGTAACACTCCTACACCAGGTATCTTAGAGCTTGCTCTGTCACTTGACTCAGGCCTCCACTCAAAGCTCACCTCATTGGAGAAGCTGTCCATGATCACCCTATATAAAAGACATCCCCATTATTCTCACTCCAGCTGGTTTGGCCTTCCTTCATAGGTCTTATCATCATCTAATTAAATGTTTACTTCTTTGTTGATTTACTATCAACAAGGATTTACTGTTTGCTCTCCCTCACCACCACCACCCCACCCACACACTAAGCACCATGCAGGCAGGGACTAGGTTCTGTTCACTAGTGAATCTCAATGCCCACTATACAATGACATTCAAGGCATATTCATTGAAAACGTGAATGGGTATTTGTATTGGTTTGAAGAAGATATGATAAATTCTTGACGTTTCTGACCTTAAAAGATATTTTGCATAGCCAAATGTAAACAAACATGCATTTATAAAACTAAAGACTAGAGTTTAATTAAAATATAGTCATCCACATGAAATACCTATAACTTCAGCCATTTGCTGAATACCAGTAAGACTCCTTGATATAAAACACACAAAATGACTAAAATTAATCATCAAAGGCAAAAATGGGATGAGGAGAAGCAATATTTATCATGACCAGTATTGTATTTTTAGAAACTTTTTTGTAACTATTGTATTTTTTGAAACTGTTAAGACACTTATCAGGCATTGTGTTCATTAAAAGTATGTCTGTTCATGAGTTGCTTTCCACTACAGTGTAAGCCCCCTGAGAACAGGGCTCATCTTATCCATCTTCACATGCCTCTATTATGCCTATCTGAATGTGCTACAAATAGTAGGTAACCAGAAAACACACTTACCTAATGAAAAACACTTTTGAGTATCAAATCACATAGTACCTATATATTCTCTGAATATATTTCATACATTTTGACAGTAAAATAAGAATTTCTTAATCTATCATTGCTTCATTTGTACACATGCTTGCTGACAAAAGATCTTAAATCTTCATGAAATTTAAGATGGGGGAGTAAAGAATTTTAAAATATGTACGAAGACAAAATGTCCTAAAAATTATTTGTTTTAATTGGCGATAGCATCAACATTGCATCAAAAGTAGAACGTTTAGATCTGAAAAGTCCACCCCATAAAAAAGACAATGCTACTTCAGCCAAGCCATGTTAACCGGATATATCTTCCTGTGCAACCCCAGAGATTGCCTAAATCTCAATGGGATTATGAAAGAAGATCCAGTGTGCGTTCATTCATGTTATTTCCAGAAACTACAGGCAGGCCTCGTAAGGCAGCTTTTCCATGAGGCTCAAGAAGCTCGAGCTTCAGGGCCTCTCACTTGCTGAGGAAGGAAGCCCCACGGTGTGACCACCCCATCTCACATACATAGTTGCATAAGCTTCAGACCCACTCCTGCCAGGGCTCCCTTAGAATAGTAACATTAAGAAAACTAGGCTAGAATTAGTAAAAATGATCCAGAAGCCATATAGTGACTTAAAGCATGTTCCAACAGCCCAGGAAGAGCGAGACAAACCAGGTCGAATTGTCTTTTTGCACTATGGTTATGATTATTTTTCCCAAGATACACAATTTCGTCTTGGAAACCATGACTAGAAAAGCAACGTTCATTAAATGTAAGCATACATAATCCCAGATACTTATCACCCATAAAAACGAGGTGATGCGTGTGGTGAAACCAGGTTGCGGGCACTCAATACTTACTTCTGATGGTAAACACATTGTTCTGATTGCTGCTAAGTAGAACTGGTTAAAGACCGACCCGTTTTCATTCAGAATTCGAGTCCTGTTGTATCACAAAACTAGGCAGTCAAACCAATGTTAATTGCGCGATTAAGTAAACTAGATTTGCAAACATTTTTGACGCGAGGATCAAAACAAACCCCCAAAACGTGCGTCACCTCGGCATTTGGATACTGAAAATTTCAAACGTGAGTCGCGTTTCCTTGAAGACTGAGATCTAGGGAAGAGCTGGGGGTATTCTCAGACAACCACACACTCTCCCCTTCCTAACCTGCCTCGAACCCTCTCCCTTGTTGGTAACGCGAGTTCTTCCCACTCCGGCATGCTGTTCTCGGTTAATTCCTCATCGGTGGCTAACTGGGTACAACTATCTGGCAGTTTTTTGCTTTTTAACTGTAACAGCGCATGTTCTCAGAGGTTCGCCTAACCTACCAGCGGCCTTAACTTGAGGCTGGTCCTTCCCCTCCACCCCTGAACAGGTCCGCAGGGCCTTCCCACTCCTCCCTCGTGGTCCCTCCACTTGGGACGGGTCCCCGCCACTTCTCCATGACATGTTTCGGCGGCCCGCGGCCTCTGGGCACCGGCCCTCCCCGGCGAAACACCTTCAGGAAAGTCCCCTCGGGGTGGCCGCAACGCCACGGCAAAGTTACCGGGGAAAGTAAAAGGGCGGCCCCGCGCACTTCCAATAGGACGCAGCCAGTTCCCAGGCCCGGACGCGCCTGAGAGGAGGGGGAAGGGAGTGTCCCCGCCGAATCCCGAGAAAGGCCGCGGGACTCACCTCCGGCTCCCTCCCGCGCCCGCCCAGGCCCCACCTCTCCAGGCTCACAAAGCCTCCGGAGGGCGAGGGCGAGGGCGAGGGCGAGAGGGCGAGGGAGGGGGCGAGGGCGAGGGAGGGGGCGAGGGCGAGGGAGGGGGCGAGGGCGAGGGAGGGGGCGAGGGCGAGGGAGGGGGCGGGGGCCGGCTCGCTGGGAGGCCGTCGTGACGCGGCGGGACCTAGCCCAGCGACCCGCGGGTGGCTCCGGCCGCGCAGTCTGCCGCTCCACCGCGCGTCTGGAGTGCCCGTCCGGGACGCAAAAAAAGCGAGTCCAGCGGCCCCGCCGCCCTGAGCCCCCGGCCTCGACAGCGAGAGCCCCCGAGAAGGCTCGGCGCGCCCCACTCAGTCCCGCCCGCCGCGTCTGAGGTGGCCGCCAACTGCGTGGAGGGCCGCGAGCTCGAGGGGCGTGCAGACGCCGTCGAGGCTCGGGAGAACCGCTCCGTGGCAGGCGCCCCTCTGCGCCCCGCCAAGGCCCTAACTCGAGGCCTCACACGAGTTCCCCTCTTGGCGAACGGTGCTTTCCCCCAGGCACCTGGGGAAGGTGGCCAAACAATACGGGGGAGGACCCAGGGGAGGCTGGCGGGGGCGGGGAGGAGGGAGGCGGAATGTGGGGGCATTGGGGGACCGCGCCGGCTGCCCCGCGCCCCCCGACCTCCCGGCGCCTAGCCTCCGGGGGCCACAGGCGGGCGTGCACTCACGCCCACCCTTCTGCCCGGTGCGAGAAGATGGCCGTTTCTGCCTCGGTATAAAAGCTCTTTGTTGCGGTCACACAAAAGCGGCCAAGCCCCACTTTTCCAGCAGGCCCTTTGGACAAATCGAAGGAACTCAGCTGAACTTCCAAATGGCCCTAAACGCCAGATCGGTGGGAGCAGCTAAAGCAGAAGGGGAAGAGCAGGCCTCCCGCGCCCATCTACCAAAACCTCTGGCAATATCCAAGTGTTTATCCGGGAGCGGGAGCTGAGACCATTCCTAAGGGAGAAAGGAAAAGGAAAATCCACTTTTACTATCAAGGCCCAAAGGGGGTATTAAACATTCACATTGTGGTAGGGTTTCTCCCCTTAACCAGGGTAGAAACATAATGCGGAAAAGTCTGGATCCACCAAAAAGAAAAAAGAAAGAAAAAAAACCAACAATAGCAACTTAAAAACAAAAACATAACAAACCAGTTGCCATCAGCCCAAAGTGGTAGTAGCAGCAGCAGGCGCGTGTGATCCACTTACTTGTCCGACTCTTGTGACATGTTTGATCCAATGAACTTGCTCCCCTTTTCCTGGAGCCTCAGCCTCTGGTGAAACTGGACTTTCAAGTCTGTGCAGGTGAAGGTGTGTGAAAGCGCCCGAGATGGCAGAACAAGAGCTACAGGTAATTCTGCTTTTCCGTCCCCCCTCACCACTCTCGCTCGCTCGCCCGCTCGCGCCCTCACCTAGCCGGAAAGGTGGGATAAGGGGGGGCCCCTCACATGGGGCCCGAGCTCGGAGGCGGCCGGGCGGTGCAGAGTCCTCCTGGATCGTGGCAATGGGCGGACACAGAGCAGAAAGTGGCGGACTTGGGCGGCCACAGGTAACTTTCTCGCAAGAAGCTGAATTCTTTCACTAAAGGGTACAAGCCCGAGGGACGAGCTGCGCGGTGATTGGCTGCGGAGCTCCCTCAGGTGAGCTGCCATTGGCAGAGGCGCGCTCAGGTAAGGCCCTTCTCCAAGTGCAGGTAACTCACTCCGAAGTTTACCTGAGTGGAGCGGCGGCATGCTGGCAGCTCGGCGGCAGCCTGTGGAAGCTGAGGGCCAGTTCTTCGAGTAGACCTCAAGCTGCGTTTTCCTCCTTCTCCAAGGCCAGGATGGGAAGGTGGGGGTACTGGACTAAGCGAAGAAAGGGGCTGGGGGAATGCAACACCTGCCAACACTAGGGATTATGGGTCGAGCGAAGAAACTAATGAGAGCCGAGCTCAGGTGTCCCAAGTGAACCAGAATCAAATGCGCAGTACGTCACAGGGCATTTAATGCCTACAGTAACAGGGCTGTTTGACAGTGGCAGAAGAGGACGGGACTAAACTTACTTTGTGCTGAAAGGGGAAAAGAAGCACAAAGTTTGATCTGTTTCGTAATTGAATTTTTAACATGCTTATTCACAACAAACACTTTTCGTGTCCTGCTGTATAAAAGACATCAGCTATATTACAGATTTTAAACAGGTGAGCATCCTTTTACGAGCTGGGCAGGTGGGAAATGGCGTGGTTTTGATGAAGTGAGGAGATTTGGTTGAATGGACACTAAGATAGCCAGGTGCACCTCTTCCATCTCAACTCTGCAGCCCGGGATTCCAGAGCGGCAAACAACCACTGAATTCGTTCTGTAAACCTGTTGTCATTTGACGTTTCCAGGCAGGCATCAACATTTACATTGTAATTCAATAGACGCTACTGCTACAAAGGTGCTTTATCCTTCCAGCTTAATATGGTTGCTACGGAAACACTGCAGGATGAAACTGACTTTTTTTGTGGTAATGTTTCTCCTGGTTGGGAACAACGCAAATTAGCAAAGGTGTAATTTATAACCGCTGCTAACAAAGAGTGAAGTATCTTTGAAGTTCTGACTGGGATCTCGCTCGTACATATGGATTGTGGAAATAAAGGAGGACATGGAAAACTTACCATATTTTATTTCAAGTTAATACTAAAGCTGCCAGACCCTTCCTACACGGTTTTTTTTAATCTTTATGGATCACATATTTTCAGAAAATTACACGATAAAACAAGGGTTTGGTTTGTTCCATGTGTTCATTCTGAACAAATAAATTTCAAAATTGTATTTTTTAAGGACAATGTCAACACACACTTTAAAAAATAATATATTTTAAGACAATGCAGGTACTATTTTAGTATAATATTTTAAGATACATAGCTATCGTGTTCCTCTCCTTTTTAGAGGCAGCCGCATTCCACTTTTATCTGTCTCTTCTGTCATTTACCTCCCTATTTCTAAATAATTTATACTGCTCTCTCTCTTGATTTGCCAATAGATGTGGTGCTCTGACTACCTGTTGCTTCAGATTAGGATTTAGTTCTCTCATGCCAAGCAGCTTCTCCTTCCAACATAGCACTTTCACAGTTTAGAAGCTAAGTAAGTGACTATGCCAATAGCAGTGACAACAGTCAGCTCGTGTACTATTATTATTTTCTTTCTTGTAAAACCTTGCATCTATTTACTTAGTTTATTATGCACCTATCCCGATATTTTTCTACAACTGATCTATCAAATGACTATCATGTTTATTTTCCAAATGATCAAACAATTCCAATTTTCCCCGGAAAACAATTCCTCTAGAAATTCATTGTTCTACTGTTTCAATGGAGATAAGTTACTCTGTGGATCCACTGCTCAAGTGTCAACCTAGGACAGTCTTTAATTTGTAGTGTGAGAATCCCCATTTCTGTGTTTTGTGCCTTCTTTTTTGGTTTACTGCATCATTTTCCATGGCACGTGTTCTAGTAATAGCCCAAGAAAGGGCACAGAAGGTAAAAATTTGAGTTCTTACATAATCGTTATGACTTTATTCAACTTTTACTTTTAATGGAGAGTCTGACCAAGTGTAGAATTCTAACCAGAATTTCTTCATTTTTAAGTTTGTAGAAATTGCTCTTTCACTTACTTAATTTTTTAATTAAAAAATAATTTTAGGCCATGCACAGTGGCTTGCGCCTGTAATCCCAGCACTTTGGGAGGCCAAGGCAGGAGGATCACTTGAGTCCAGGAGTTCAAGATCAGCATGGGCAATGTAACTAGACCTCATCTCTACAAAAAATACAAAAATTAATCGGGCATACTAGCGTGCACCAGTAGTCTCGGCTACTCAGGGGGCTGAGTAAGGTGATTGTTTGAGCTGGGGAGGTCAAAGCTGTAGTCAGTCGAGACCATGACACTGCACTCCCACCTGGGCAACAGAATAAAACCTTGTCTCAAATCATAATAATTAAGTTTTTAAAAACCAGTTCTTACTCTGTCACATCAGCTGGAGTGCAGTGACATGGTCATAGCTCTCTGCAACCTCAAAATCCTGGACTCAAGTGATCCTCCTGACTCAATTTCCCAAGTAGCTGGGATTACAGGCAGAAATTGCTGTTTTATCTTCTAGCTTCTAGTGTTACTATTGGAAATGTCACCTAATTTTGCTATGCTTCAGTTTCCTCATCTATAAAATGGAGATAATAATAGTAATTACCTCACTAATATGTCTGAGCCACTTAGAACTGTACCAGGCACTAATTAAAATCTTAATTATTATTCAATCTTATTATTTTTTAAACTGGGTTAATCTCAGAATGTTATCTTTTTTTTTTTCCTGTGACATATCTCTTCATCTTTTGTCCTATTTTGGAGGATATTTTACTTTACTTTCTACTGCGGTTGTTATCTCTGCTATTTAAAGAGCTCATTTCATGCTGTCTGTTATAAATAGAATTTTGTGACTATGTCACAGTTGCACTAACTTTTCCTATCTTTTAAGAGTGTTTGCTTACTGTAAGGTTTTCTTCTAGCTTCCCTTCTCATGTATTTGTTTTAGTCCCATCACGTTAGAGGCTTTCGTCAACTGTCTGCAAACCTTTTCCTCTCCTTTTATAAGTAAGAAGGAAGTAATAGAAACCTCACCAGGAACTCTATATGGGGGTGAGAAAAGTGTGCTTGCTCTCTGGTGGGCTTGTGGTGATCAAGTATGGTGATCAGATGAAAGCTCGTCTTTTCATGGGAAGATACCTCAAATGTCAGAAACTAGATGTCTTTTCTTTGGGGTGTGTCACTTTCTCATGAGAAATATCTTAGAATCTCTTGCCTGAGGAGGCATTCACTTGGCTGCCAATGTTCTGGAAGTGGTTTAGGGGAAGGGGTCTGGATGAGTAACTGTTTAGGATGCAATCTTTCACACTTTT